CCCTCTGCGGAGTGGCGGCGCCGGACGCCGCCGACGCGCCCGCCGCCGCCGCAGAGGCCGTGCCACAGCTGATGGATCTCGACGCCTTTCCAATCATCGACAACCAGGTTTGATTGCGCACGATGCGTGATCCACGAGCGGCAGCGAGCCGCCTCTCAGATCACAACAATCGCATCGCCAGCAGCATGCAGAGGGCAGAAATGGAAGCCTAGACGGCCGGCGCAGACGCGCCACGCGCCATCCGCCCCCGGCCGCCGTCCCATCCGCCACGCTCCAAGCCCCTTGCACCCGCGCCCGCCCGCGCAGGGCCTGGTGAATCCTCTGGTACCAGAGGGCACACAGGCGCACGTCTTTGCTATTATAGATGTGAACCAGAAGCTCCAGTACATCGGATTCAGCAAGGGCCTGCGCACGACGCTGCGCACGCTGCTGGGGCGGCGCCCCGACAAGGCGCACTTTTTCAAGTGAGCGCCGCGGCGGGCGCGCGGCCGGTGCGCCCTCGCTGAGCCCGAGCGGGCAGCGGCGGACCGCATGGCGCCTGCTTGCCCGCATGGCGCCGCGCCGCAAGCCAGAGATTGAAGCACTGAGCCGCCCAGCCATCGCATGCACCCGCAAGCCGCCTGCATGCGCACGGCACGCGAAGCATGCCGAGCACGCGCGCGCCGCCATGCGCGCGCCATGCGGCGCCCCATGCAGGGCGGTGCACTTCCATGAGTTTGACCAGGCGGCCATGGTGGCGGTGCGGGACGCCTGGTACGAGCAGTGCGGCGGCGCGCCGCCGGGCAACAAGCTGGCGCTGGAGCGCAACCAGTGGCAGAAGCCGGTCGACGGCGGCGCCATCAGCCAGCGCGGGAAGAGGGTGTGTTGGGTGGCGCACGGAGGCGGCCAGGGGCGGCCGAGGGGTGCCGACGGCCCGGCCGGGCGCGGGCCAGGGACGCCGTCGGGCGGTTGGGCGTGGCCGCACCAGGCCGCACCCCCTCGCCTCCCCCAAGGGGACGCCCCTTGACCTCGCAGCGCCCCCCCCCCCCTGGTGGCCCGCTGGACCGTGCCCGTGCCGGCGCCCTGTCAAGCTTCCCATGTGTATGATTCCACTGGACGCACTCACACACCAATTGGGACCACATTTTGCGACCCCCAGGGTGCGGCGGAGGACAAGGCGCGGGAGCTGCTCACCATCATCCGGCAGCGCGGCTGCACAGAGCCCTTCACGCCGGCGCCTGAGCTACTCGATGACGGCCTGGTAGGGGGAGCGGGATGGATTGGAATGGAATTTGATCGAATGGAATGGGATGGGGCGGAATGGGATGGTGTGGTGGGGGTTGGCCTCAACAGTGCACCTGATGGCGGGCAGTGAAAGGGCGGCCTGCAACACAGGCTGGGCCTCCCCCCAGGCGCGCCGTTTGACACATCGGCGTTCAAAGCACTGCGATGCACATCATGCAACCGTGCCGCGAAGCGCCGCTAGGCCCACTCCGCCCCCCCTCTGCCCTTCGCGCCCCCCAAATTCGTGTGCGGCCCCCCAAAGGTCGAGTTTTTGGAGGTTGCGGCGCTGTCTGACGAGCAGCTCAAGGCTGCGCGCGAGGCGGCGGCCAAGGCGGCAAAGGAGAGCCGCTCCTGCTCAGTGGTGGTGAGGGACAAGCGCGGCGCGTCGCGACACCCCCCCCCACCACCCCCCCCAGGCCCCC